AAACTATATCAACTAGTCAAGACTGCTATGAACCTAGAAAGTGATTATACAAAGACCATGCATATGGCTTCACACACAGACTGGGTACATCAATCATAGCATGGGAGGAGACTGACCTCACTTGGCCTTCAGAATGATATACTAATTGCTGTGCAATAAATTTTATAAGATCTGTTATCATAATCTGCATTTCCTCACCAAGAGTGATTGTTTGTGACATGTATCTGATTAGGAAAAGATTAATGTTTGTCCTGGTGAGACTCCATAGCCTCAACGTGTCAAATACCATAGAAATTATTCTCAAGCTAAAACAGGTGGTCAATGATGTTAAATGTATCAATGATGTCAGCATCTTTCACCAGATATTAATTATATGCTTGTTTGTATAAACAAAACTTATATTACATATAAGTCAAATAATTAAAAAAAAAACTATCCATGAGTAAATCTAGCTTGCAGTAGAGACAAAACTGTTGAATCAATTTTCATACAATGCAATATTTATTGTTTTGCACAGATGAATAATAGCTACTGAAATTCTTCAAATAGACAGTATAGAGTTGCTGTAAGCTATTTTTGTGAACAGTGATGAATAAACTGTGATGTAATGACTGTCATGTTTGCTGCTGACGTGTTGAATGTGAATCGGTATTCCAATTGTCTGCACCATTCTTTTCGGCTCTTCATGAAATTACAGGCTTTGTAACGTCAAATACGTTGACCTGGCCTTAATAACTTTGACCCGGAAATATCATCGACGTTATGACGAATGAACCGACGTTGATAAGTTTGACCCGACCTTATCGCGTCATCTTCCGGTTTGCTTGTGAAAAAAACACTTGTTTCTGTCATGCAAATACACAAACACAATCTGAAAAATCAATTATCAGGTTGTGTGCATATTGCCTATGTATATTAAGGTCGATGCGAGGTTATATCGACCTAAGAGAAGCATATCGACTGAGGACTGATATGCTTCTCTAAGTCGATATAACATCGTATTGACCTCAACCAAATAAAATTGAAAATGGAAATGGGGAATGAGTCAAAGAGACAACAAACCGACCAAAGAGCAGAAAACAGCCGAAGGCCATCAATGAGTCTTCAACACAGCGAGAAAATCCTGCACCCGGAGGCCCTTAAATAAAAATGTGTACTAGTTCAGTGAAAATGGTCGTCACACAAAACTCCAAAACATATAAATGAACTAAAATTAAAAGCATACAAGACTAACAAAGGCCAGAGGCTCCTGACTTGGGACAGGCGCAAAAATGCGGCGGGGTTAAACATGTTTTGTGAGATCTTAACCCTCCCCCTATAACTCTAGCCAATGTAGAATAAACAAACACACAGAAAAACGTACAGTAAAACTCCGTTTAAAAGAAGTCCGAGTCCGATGTCAGAATAGGTAACAAAAGAAACTCATGATGGAAAATGACAATGATACATAAATTAACAAAGGACTACTATAGCAGTTACTGACATGCCAGCTCCAGACCTCAATTTAACTGATTGAAAGATTATGTCTTCGTCATATGAAAATCAAGCACAATCCCTCCCGTTAGGGTTTAGTGTCATACCATCATAAAATATATGAGAAGAACATAACCCGTATCATGCCAACAACTGGTTTTAGAACAAATGTGTTTATTTCAGATGCAAAGACCCTATGAGTGAATCAATATTAATTCCAAAATATGCCATCTTTAATGACCTGACAACAGTATCGTAACTATATCCCTTTTGAATAAGTCTGTGTAAAGATTTGGTTAGCTTTTGAGGTGAATGACGACATTTTTGTGCTTTGTATAGAATATTACCATAAAAGATTGGATGTGAAATACCTGAACGTATAAGATGTCTGTATGTTGATTTATATTTACGAATGATGTCCTTGTACCGATGATAAAATTTAGTAAATGTTTTGACTAGCTTGTGATATCGAAAACCCTGGTGTAATAATATTTCAGTAATACACAGATTTTTTTCGTTAAAATCAAATACGTTGTTACATACACGAGCGAATCGAACAAGTTGAGATATATAAACACCATAAGATGGTGACAAGGGAACGTCACCATCTAAAAATGGATAATTTACAATAGGAAATGAAAATCATCTCTTTTATCATAAATTTTGGTATTAAGCTATAGATATCAAGATCCAGGAAAGGGCAGTGTTCATTGTTAGTATTAGCTTTATTTAAAGTCAGTTCAGCAGGATAAATCTATTTAGTTTAAATACTGAAGTCGTCATTATTGAGAGCCAATATATCATCCAGATACCTAAAAGTGTTATCAAATTTTTGTATCAGATGTTGTTTCGATGGGTCTTTGGTGATTTTAGTCATAAATTGTAAATGCCCAATTAATTAGGTGAGTGAATCTTTTCTTAAGAAGATTATAAGGCAAAGTGATATATAGGGTAGAAAAATCAAAACTTTGAACAGATTCGAAATCAATATACGAGTAAGCATGCAATTTATCAAGTACTTCGAACGAATTTTTGACACTCCAAAAGTAATTAATTCCACTATATTCAAAGGCCTTATTTGAACAATTTATTACCAGGTTTTTGATCATACCAAGTATACTAGTAAGTAGAATAGACAGTTTAGTAGTGGAACAATGGCTTGAAGACGAAATAAATCTATATTTGTAAGGTGTTTTGTGCAGCTTCGGAAGCGAGTACAAAGGCTACAATTGTTATATTACTAATCAACAACTATTGCATGAACAATGTAAAATTGGTGATTTCTAGAATGTATTTTTAGTAACATGCTGTATGCCCTGTGCAATATGCTGTTTTTGACTTTCCAAAAGCTAAACACAACAGCAATGGCGTGCAAACTGAGTAAATACAAATGTACATGTGGTCAAATTTTAACGAATCACAAATCCTTAAAAATATTCGATTGATCATATTGTAAAATATCAGCTGCTCAACACAATATCAAGCCTTTTTGAACTCATTCGCTGCACTCACTCGACAAACAACTTCATTATGTGACTTGCAGCTGATATTTTACAATATTAATATGCAGACAACCTGATAATCGGTACTTATTGATATACTAGTCTTGGATACATGATTTTTTATTAGTTGTTATTGGCTTTGAAATAGCTTTCAGCAACTGCGAGCACTCTCAGATCTGTAATTTGTGTCCTCAGTGTTTTATTAGTTATTTTTTGCTCTTTGTATAGATCTGTTGAGTTGAGCCATTAATTAAGTAAATTGAAATAACAATTTTTTTTATCTTGAATGATGTTATGCAACGTTCATTAATTAAAAAAATACAGGTAGTAGATTCAAATTTTGACAAAATATTAAAACAAAATCGCACGCACTTTGAGCATATTACTGTACTGAAATTTCCATTTAGTGATAATGAATCTTAAAAAGTATCAGCTATTTATCAAATGAGGTATATTCGAATTTTTTTTTAAATATAGATACATGCATGCTACTGAATTTCTAGGAAGAACAATTATTCGAACAATATCTCGATGCACACATATAGTAATTTGTAAAGAAATGTTTTAAAACACACGAAATCACCTAAAAAGAAAATAATGAACAAAAATACAAATGAACAAATTGAATTAAAAAGGAATAAAATAAGAAATAATTAAAAAAAAACGAGGGCGGATACTTTCTCATTGCAAAGTATCAATAATAACACGCAAAAGAAAAAACAAAAACACAGACAAAAAAAAAAGGAATAACAAAAGAAAAAGAAAGAACAAAAAAGAAAGACAGGCAATCGAACTTAAGACTACAACATTAACTATGCAACTCATTTATTCTGGCGTCTATCAAATTGCAGTATGCGAATGTCGTTTTGACCAGATTTTAATATCTGTAAACTACTGTTGCCTTTGTTTATATATATAAAGGCGTAATCCCTACTCATCCATTCCATCATTATAATATCATATTTTAAAATTTATTCATGTTCATAAAATGTTGACTGACGATATATAAAAAAAAAACTCATCATAGAACCCAGGCTTATCATTTTGTACGCCAGACGCGCGTTTCGTCTACAGAAGACCATCAGTGAGGCCCGAATCATAAAAAATGTTAAAAGGCCAAATAAAAAACGAAGTTGAAGAATAAGAGGACCAAAAATTCCGAAAGGTTTTGCCAAATAAAGCCAAGATATAAATTAGAATTCATCTTTAAATATAAACCCCTATTTCCCTCATATAAAATGAAATGTTAAGAAGACACACAAATAATTTACAATATTTCGCGAGACAAACTAGCTTCATCGAGCGTGCATCTATCCAGGTGAAATCGGATACAGATACTTAAGAATATGCATCCGATTTCACCTTGATATATGATTATTTGACGCCTGACGGTAAAGGCTATTCCTACTCTCATGTGATAACGAATAACTTCATAAATTGAGGACACGCTTGGCCATTGGCCATTTAGAGATTATAAAAAGTACACGTTTCGGCGACCTTTACAAGCTAATGTATAGGCGTACAGTGACGACATATAAACGCGTTTTGGGGATTGGACACGTTTGAGATGAAGGTCACGTTTGAGGTGAATGACACGTTTCTGAGTGTAACATATGCATATATATCGAACTCACTTCTTGGAGTCTGTAATGTGTGATTGGCTTTTGTTTTAAAACAATGAAAGTCGAGTCATTCTGACTTCAGAGATCATGAGTTTGATGTTTGAACAAATCAGCATATATACCTGCTTTGATGTATAAAAACTTTTTCATGCTTAGGATAAAATCAGATCACCAAATCGTCAGTTATTCTTGGTTGCCAAAAAAAAAAGAAAGGAATGGCATGATGATCACAAGTTCTAGTTACAAACTCCAATCATTATGATAAGAACATAACGCAGAAAGCACATGTACATCTATGGAAAGAAGAACATATACACCAAGGAGCATCTGCGTATAACTTGCAGGCTATTTTATTTTATCATTTAGCTTTAGTATTAGCACATGCGCTATTGAACAAAATAAATGAAAATAACGCCTATTTATTTATATAGATTAAAAACAATGTATACCTCATATGCACCATCAATTGATCCTATTATATAAACAGTTGAGCTGATTGGATCTGTTGAATCTTCACTAAAGATTACAGTAAAAAATATCTCTCTATACATATCAATTAAATCAATTTAGGACTAAAGTCTGAAGCAAATTTCACAGCTTTATCATAAAAATCTTTTTGTCAAGTTAAAAATCAGAAATAACAAATACACTGAGTTCTACCATTTTGCTCCTTTGCTGGCCAAATGAAATCCCAAGGGTAAGATAATAATAATAATAAACGTTTTCTGTTTCATTTAGTGTCAAGTTCAGTTGTAGTGTGCGGAGTTTTTATTGCAGTGTAATCTTGAACTGAAGAACCGATTTCAGTGAGCTGGGTGGAATGTGAATGGATTGTCGTGGACATTGTTTGAGATTGCCGTGAACGTGACAATTTCATTCTGGTCTTCGAACAGTTTTCTTTAATGAAACGTTTAAACTGTGGTGAAAATATGAAATATATAAAGGGATTGATCGCATAAGTCAAGAAGAAAAATATTCTTGCAGCTTGTTCCAATCTGAATAACCATTTTGACATGAAATATCTCGGATGGAAAAGTCTTATGATATCCATAACATTAGTTGGAGAAGTTGTTATAAGATAACTGCAAATTACGAATGTAACCACTCTCGACATTTTCCGAACTACCATCTCAGTGGAGGAAAGAGAACATAACAACGCTTTTGCTTTGAACGTATGAAGAATACTTATAGTGATGATTGGAAACGCCGTCATAAATATTGTCACCACCAAATTCGTGTAGAATGCTAACTTCTTATCATCTAGGTTAAAAATTACTGCATACATATAAAATGAACCATTTCCGGCAGCAACTATCCACAACGGAAGTGAAATCAGCATCACCTTTTTACTTGTCAATATACTTCGAGATTTTAAGGGATGGACAATTATAAAATAACGCAAAACCGACATGAAAACAACGTGGAAAACGGACGATCCTGCTGCTACTAGTCCTATAAAATCTAAAACAGTTTTTATTTTCCTGTAGTCCGATTTTGAAATGTTCATCCATATATACCCATCTATGATGTAACGTATATATCGAAAAAAAAGAAAGGTGAAATCGGGTATTGCAAGGCATGCTATTGCAACGAAGGTCGGTTGATGCAATCTTTTGTCAACTTTTACAATAACAATCACGATTAAGTTCATGATAATTCCGCTGATTGATATGGTACTGATGATCAGAGCATTTGGAATACAGTACGGCGTAGAACAGAAATCTGTTCTATCAAAAATAGTATCGTTTCCTGTATCTGAAGTACCAACAACGGAGGTCACGTTTGGTGACTCTGCGGTTTCTATATTGTAAGGAACACCACTGTTGTTTATATGCGACATGTTGAAAAAGCCGGAATGTAGAGGAAGTGAATTCATCTCAACAGAATTGATTTGAACCTAAAAATACAAGTTCTCTTGATTATCAAATTACCAAAATAAAAGAAATAGTGTAATTTATGAAATCATTATTTCCAAATCTAAGCGATAAATATTGTCTGTCCACATAACATCTGTCTTTGTGATTCATTTACTTATAACTTTTTAACCATCTTGTTAAATAAAGGATAAAAGGCATAACCAAAAATAATGGACAGTTCAAAAGGGCACACCAACAACAAACATCCGACTCCTCTGCAAAAAAGAGACGTTGAAATACATACAACAGCGAGTAACAAATGGTTCAGGTAGATTTACTTGTATTGGTACAGACACAACATGTGGTGTGGTAAAACCAGGTTGACGTGCACACACTCCCCCTTTGCATATCTAGACTATATAACAGTAAAATAGAAAGAGGCGATATCAACTTCGCCATCAATAATTTTCAGACATAGATTATTTTATCTTTATTTGGCAAAACCTTTCGGAATTTTGGGTTCTCAATGCTCTTCAACTTCGTACTTTATTTGGCCTTTTTAACGTTTTTGATTCGAGCGTCACCGTTGAGTCTGTTGCAGACGAAACGCGCGTCAAACCTATTTTTTTTTAAATCCTGACTGGTATCTATGATGAGTTTATTTACTTTTTTGACAGGGATGTTCGGAATCCTCTTGCCTCATCATATTGCGAGTACGTTTTTAATTTCCTTGTGGAAGTGAGTGGTCATTCAATTGGGATCTGCACTGTGTAGCTTTTTTATTGTCCGTTTTACGACATTCGGTAACAATTGGTAATGTGAGAGGTTTTTGCCAACGTAAATTGGATTAACCCCACAACATTTTGTGCATGTACCACGTACGGCTATCTGGACGTGTGTTGTTCGTTTTTGTTTTTCTTTTTTACAGAGGAGACAGGTGTTGCTGGCTGATGTGGTCTGTTGTACTGACCATTATATTTGGTGATTTTTGTTATCCTTTCTATGTATAACACACAAAAAAAAAACAACATGGTGATTGACCACTTACTTGAACAAGGATTGTGCGTCATAGTTTTGCCTTTTACGAGGCTTATTGGATTGTAAGTGGTGGATTAAAACAGATTTAAACTGTGCAAAACCATCTACTTGTATGTCTTTGAGTTAATATCTCAGTTGGACTTGACTGTGTATCTGCACCACCAAACAGACACCGCATAGCTAAAGAAACTTTGCCAAAGTCGACGATTTTGATTTTTTTGGTGGAAAAGGTGACAGTTGAAAAATATTATTGATACATGAATTCCTAGTAATCAGCGTTTATTACGATAACGTTTCATGGAAGTGTTATTATTGCATTTGACCGATCAGTAAGAAGGGAAGAGTTTTTACCATTCAACGGACAATCTTTTACCATATTCAGAAGAAAATGTTATGTTTTGTACAAAACATACAAGCTGAATCGGATTTTAATTTACTAGGAGTATCATGAGATGTAAGTATCACCAACAACATTGATTGATAGTTTTCAAAAATTATTTCAATGTATCTTCTGTACGTGCACTTTTATCGATTTCGCTATTTTCGCTCAAATAGTTAAATTAAAAGAGCTAAAACTAATGTAAAATACCAAAAGTATTTGGCAAAATAATAATCTTTCTATGTACGTCCAATCACATGTAAATATAACGAAATATTAAAATACCTGTAGTTACAGTTACATTTTTAGTTTATATATGGCAAATAATAAGAAGTAGACGTTTATAATAAATAGTTAACACCAAAAATATTAAGACAAACGGAGACAAAAAAAACAATAGATAGAAAACAAATACTTTAACTTACAGTGAGAATAAACAACGTAGCTACCACTAGTCTACATTTAGTCATAACATTTAATAAACAAAATCAGCGATTTTCTCATCAAAAGTTTTTAATTTTAAGTAATAACATGTTGCCTTCAAGCGTCCATGTAAAACAGTTTAATTACTTTCTACGGCGCGTGTCACACATGTTTGTATGTTGATAATTTTTTCCGATTTATGTATTCAGTGGAAATTATAAATATTTTCGGCATTTGTACCCTTCAGCTAAATTGAATGACATTGTAGTATATAATCTGAAAGGCAGATACTAACATTTTTACCCATCGGGTGTTACAAATGTATATTGATTGGATGTTAACAGTAAATCTACCAGTTCAGATGTCAATTTTACTAATAAACAACTTTTAGGTGCAAGATGGTTTCATTTAGTACCCTCAGCGAGTTTTCAGTTTCAATACGGACATTTAAGGTGGATCATCGGTATATAATTCCTAAGATATAATTTTCTTATACTTTGCCAAAAGAAGATTTTACCATGCTTTTTCAAAAATATATTTAAAGGTATGAATCACTGTGCTATTTTCAAGCTACAAGTCGTGTGCAAAATTTCCAAATTTTGCATAGATTACTCCTGAAAACACCTTTTTGTGAAAAAAAAAGAAATCTATGAAGTAGAATTTTGAAATAAAATATGAGAAGATAGGGTTTATAATATGCTTTTAGAAAATACAAAGATAAAATGGTGTCGACGAACTTGTTTTCTTGCTACAAGTAAAAAAAAATTTCTTTGACATCCTTTAATAAAATTTTTACTATTAGAGTTATTTCCCCTTAAATGCCAAAGTTGAACCCCAAAAATAGCACATGAAGGTTTTTTTTTATTACATATTTGATGTATCGAGTAAAAATAGGTTGTTAATAAATCATTGTGGGATCAAAACTTTATCGTATGCCCTTAATGCCCACGTCAGGCACATGCAGTAGCTTATATCCCTTGTTCTGACATGTGAAAGAATAAGACCAAGAAAAATGAAAGACCATGTGGACGGAAAAAAATCAAAGACACAAAAGATGTGTTTCCATACTGAATAAAAAGACATTTGATAGAATAACTCCTTACAAAATATCCCATAAAATCGACGAATGAAATATGTAAATCATCATGTTATTAGTTTGGTTTCTGTCTCATTGACAATATAATAGGATCTATAAGGGAAGCTCCTGCTCACTGCAAAATTTGAACTTCTAATTAACTGAGGTATAATAGGAAAACTTTGTCCATTGGTGAGATATGAAGTTCAAATCAAAAAGGTATATGCGATAAATTTTAACCCCTGATGATATTACAAAATACAGATATTCTAATTCGCCTTACATCCTATCCTAGTAGACCACATCATACAATAAATAAGACACTCAAATTAAATAGGGTACATGAAATCTTTTGTAAACTCATGAAATATGAACTTCCCAATAAAGGAGGTATATGGGAAATCCGTGTCAATTGATTCAAACAAAAATGCAATTTAGAAGTACATGTTAATGTTTCTGTGAATTGTACAAAATTTCAAGCTGTATTGGATTTTAACGTGCTGGCGGACAAGTCAAACAGACGACAAGAAAAATGTCGTTTGTTCCGGGTCCATCATTGAGACACCACCATTTGTTTTTACTCTTTGAACTTCTATCTATATGAAAATGTACAAAGAATTTTGAAGTTTGTTTTGGATAATCAGAGAAGGTAAACATGGCCTAGTTGGTATATTTGAATTGTTTACATCTGTTTCTATGGCCTTTAAAAGTTTAATGTAGGTGAATCATTTAGGATGTTTGCATCTAATATACTTGTTTATACTCAAATTATGATATGGAGCTTCGGGATATTTGTAAACTTTTAAATTAAAAACAAATTTCCACAGAACATTAAATTACGGAAGTACAAATATACTTGGATCTTTAATATGCAAACGCATAAATTTCGCCGAAGCCTTAATTTGCACATCTGCATCCGACAACAGTGTGTTTTTTTGAAAAAAAATCCTAAAAATGGTCAAAAATCGTATGGAAAAGAAGAAGTCGGGTACACCTCTGTACGTTCAGGCGTGTTTGAGTTGACTGTTTTGTCTTGTATACGCATCAAACAAAAATATTTGATACATCATTTCGCTTCAGATTCTATTATTTTTACATATTTAGGCTACATGTTGACATAACATCATTAAAAATTCACATTACAAAAAAATAAAATACATATTGTTAAAGGAAAGACCTTTCTAATGAGTCCTAACAGAGTAGGTTTGATTAACAAAAAAACAAACTTCGTGCTACTACAAATGTTAAAACTTGATGTGTATTTTTGACTTGTTGTTTTTCAAATTTTCGTTCACTCATTTTTCAATCAAAATGTTGGCATATTCATCATCTAATTTCTGAAATGTACTAAAAAGCAGATACGTCGGACACATCCACTGATATTTTTACTAATAGCCCTTGCCGACATACTTTACTTGTGGATTTTTCTATGCACAACTTCAAAAACAATTCATTTTTGTGTATGTTATCTAGGATAGTTAGTCGTACACCTCTAACCATTCTTTAGTCTTCTCTTCGACTAAATATTCAAATAGAATGTATTTTGAACTTTTGTAAAAGTTTCCCCTTACAACCAATCAGACAATAGTTTTTAATTCACAAAAAGGCATAAACGTACACAAAATGTATCAAAGCTAGAAAATACATTTGTTTTTTTAGAATACAACTGTCATGTAAGGATCGCAATGATGCCATGTGATAAATTTTATTGGTTTTCAAGAGCTAAATTGACAGTGCGTCATTCCTACAATGGCTTCCAATTTACGATTGGACCAAATAGGTGGCGTAATGGAGAGATAATTTTGACGAAGTAGAATCCTGACTGTTATCCCTGCGACGAGAATTTCCGTGGTTTGGATAGTAAGAACATGACACATTCTCAAGGAGTAGCATGCGATACAAGTACAATTAACAATTGATAGTTAGTTTCCAATATTATCATAATGTTTGTGTATATTTTTGATTTTTTGTTATTTTTGATCATATAGTTTAAAAGAAAGAACTTAAACTAATATAATATACATGTTGTTTTTTGGCAAAGTAATAATCTCTCGATGTACGTTTACAAAAGGGGGATCAATTACATGTATATACACATGTATATAATACCTGTAGTAATA